ATTTCTTACCTGTCCACTTGCTGAGGCAATAATACTATAAAGTAATTCTAAAGACAATAAAATCGTGATAAAATATGACGTCTGATTTGCCTTAGTACTGTCTGGATAAAATGCCACATTATAACGAACATGTGCATCATTTCTTTATGCATGAAGAACTGAAGTATGAACTTGCTTTATGTTTTGAGATATGCCTTCAAGGTATGGAGCAGTAGAAAAGTTGATGTAAAGTCACAATAAATGTTTTGTAGATACTACTCTGATGTGGGAAAGAGTCGACTGTAAACTTTTTCTCTTATCCCCATTTTAGAGCTTGGCCTTTGGTTTCCATTAAAGCTAATAGTAATTGTGATGTTCAGCTGAGTTTCCAAGCCACAACTAACCTTTTTCTTCGGTTGATTTTAGTGCGACTATGATTTGAGTATGTCAGTATGAGTTCTTGTCTTTCAGAATTTTTCCTTGTAGTTTCTGTCATTTTAGTTCATGAAGGATGTACTTTGAATCTGATTTTTGAAAGGGAATAGGACATAGAAGTGTTGGAAATAAGCTCCCAGTAGGCACCTCTGCAGCCAGTTTTGGGCAGACGTACCAAGGGCGGTGGAATGTCAGAAAAGCAGTTTGAAGTTTTCTTGGTGATGTTATTAAAGGTTGAAAGTAGAGCAAATTAGCAGTCCCCTGCACTGAAACACGTGCAAAGAGACAAGTACATGTAAGCACAGCTGCCTGTGCATCAGCTAAGAACTGTATAAACAGCTGAGGAGTCACCAGCCAGGGGTTCACAGCGGCTTTCCACTGCTCTTGTCCCATTCCACAGCAAAACAGAAAAAGGAATGGGATTATAGTCTGCCCAGTTCCTGCCCCAGGCCAAGATTTCTTGCTTGTGTTGGAGTAGAGCCATGGTCAACCCCAAAGACTGAAGAGTCTAGTCAAGTTGAGGACCCTTTATGTTGTAAGAGCATTCACCCATCCCACTACCTATCTCTCGTAATCTCTTCAGAACCAGGATGACAGTGTGAAACAACTCAGGAGCACCAAGGGGATAAGAGTGAGGAAAATGAAGGTAGCATGAATACATTCCTGTGATGACAGAAAGACGCTATATGCACAACTCAAGAGTTGTGCCTTACATTCTCAATAATTACCTTGTTTTTTGATGGTATGAGACAAGAATAGGTTTTGAGAGATTGAAATAGCCCATGTGATACTGACAGAAGAACCGTACGTTTTCTTTACTTAAAAAAAAAAAAAAAATTATTTACTGTATTTATCACTTTGTGAACATTTTCATGTATTTTAGAGGAAGTGTTGGGGAATAACAACATTGAAACTGATATGTGTTGTACAGGGGTTGCCTTTACCAGGTGGCCAAGAAGATTATGATGAATGTAGGGAAGATGAAATGAAACTAATTCTACCTAGTAAAATCAGGCAACAATTTCTCGGGGTAACCAGAAAAGAAAAGGTGGATGGGTCAGATTGTCTTACATCTTCTTTTAATTCCCCTAGTTCGTTCTTTTTCATTTTGTTTGTGTGACAGTGTCACATTTGATCCAATAGTGTTGGTGAATAAAGAGAACTTCAGAATGAAAATTGAAAGAGCGTGTAGCCATTTCTTTTCAAAAATGAGAGATCCTGTTCTGTCTGTATGAAGAAATCAGAAAGTTGTGAGAGAAAAACATGAAAAGGAACAAGATGCAGAAGCAGGCAGGTGTGGGCAGTTTTAAATGATGGAAATGACAGCAGCAAGAAACGGTGAAAGTACGGATGGCATTGGAGCTTTTTTGCCACGGGTGAATGAATGCACTGGGAGCTTGCTGAAGAACATACTTGGTAACCAGTGAAGGAGTTTTTGAATGGGAAAATACTCCGCTGACTCTGCTTTAATGACATGTAGTTTATTGAAGGTACTGTGCATAAGTAATGAACTGTCTCTGTAGTTCTGTGACACTTTGTCGAGGTGTTTGTGTAGGACAGGATTCTAAACTACTTTGGATCCACGAACAAAACCGTTCTGCTTCCTTTAGCAACTTGCCATTTTCCTGTTCCTGTCCTTTGACTACTCTGATCCAGCTTCCATCCCCTTCGCATAAGTCCTTATTTTGTACTCATGCTAATGAAGCTGAAAACTGCATATTGTCTTCCTCTCTTACTGTCCTTATAACAGCGTGTTAAGACAATTGTATTATTGGAAATGTGATTTATTCCTTCCTTCTACCTCCTACAGACCTGATGGCATATTTTGGCAATAGAGCACTAAAGTAGCATTTGTTCTTGGTTTTTATTTAGCAGAGCTTTTAAACTTTTAAAGTTCATACACTTTTGCCGTTCATATATTTTCTTTCTGCATGAAGGTCAGTCGGCTTTAATAGTGGCATACTTGTTCTTCTTGGGTCATAGCATGTGGTCTGTTTTCAGAGAAGTGTTGGCTCCTACTGCTGGAAAAGTAACTCTTCTGATCAGCAGCTGTTGCCAAAATATCCCTTTGGGCATTTATTTCTTCAGACTGCTTTATCTGTCTTATAAATTCAGCAAATGTTGATATTCTGTGCTTTTTATTTGCTTCGGATGATATATACCACATTGTTTTTAAAGTGTGTGTTTTACTTAGCTGCCAAATGCTTTTCATTGCCGAAGTAGTTTAGCAGATGGGTTTGAAGGGTTCAATTAAAGGTAATTTGGGCTTCCATTTTTCTTCCAGCATCTTTATATGATTCCTTAAATCATCATCAGTGTGTTTCAGGGCTTTACTGTTATCCCATAGTTTGCTAATTTCTAATAATCCAGTTTACACCATTCATTTGTGTAACATTTGGAAAAAGGTATATTCTGAACCTACTTACAGGTTTATTATGTGCCATTGTTGACTTGTGGTTTTGCAACACGAATGCAACATTTAAAAATGCTATTACTATCGATATATAATGCATCTTCATTATTTCTTATTTTGAGTAAGTTTTACTCTTTGAATGTTGGCATTTTCTCATAATTTTATCTTCCATCGCATTTTTTTTTAAGGGTAAACTATGGGATCCAGTGAAGTCTTTGAATACCTTCGGGAGGGACTTTTTTTGGACCTTAGTTCCTCCTAAGTTCCTATTTCTAATGTTTGTTATTGAGTAATATCCCTGAAAACTTTGTGTCTCGCCGGTAAGAGCGGGAATTTAGCTGTAATCTGGGCCATCTAAATAGGATGTAGGACTGTTGAATGCAAAATGATGCCATGGGTTGTATGGTGTTGTGCCATTGCAGTTTATGAAGTTGGAAACCTCAGGCTGTATTTTCTTGACTTCCTCTCTAAATTCCGTGATTTATACTGTACAGCATCCTTAATGAGTGTTCAGTAATATATGGCTTCCTAAAATGAGTTTTTTGTATTGCTTGTTGGCAGTCTTTAAACTTAAATGATTATTGTTACCTTTTTCACCTGCTTTAGGAACTCCATTAAATTGTTTGCTTATCTTCTCCCCTGCCCTCTCCCTGCATTTTGGCTAGTGAGGTAACAGAATGCATCTTTTTTCATCCTTAAAGTAGGTGTTAGAGACACAGGTAGAGGTGAGAATTCTTGCAGACCTGAAGACTGTAGCACAGAAAACTTGGCAGTAGCTATCCTTAATGAACTGTTTTTGATTTCTGTGCATAAATGTTTTATATTTTTACAATGCAGGTATGTTTTTCTAGCATCAAATAATACTTCTTCTTGCCATTGTCTATGAGTTGCTGCGCAAGGAGATAGTTCACTAAAGACAGTAATTTCATCTGGTTTTAAGAATGTCAACTTCGAAGTTAATACAGACATCTTTGTGATTTGTATATTCATATGGGTTATTTTTAGTTCTGTGGACTCCTAGTAGCATTATTTTATGCCTAACTTCATGCCAAAATTTGAGACAAGAATTACGGTAATAAATATCTTCTGTTTTCCAGGTATTAAGCAGATCTAGTATGTAACTTTCCTTTGTTTTGAAACATGCTCCTGTCTGGATTTTACTTGTCACTTGATCTAGTAAACAAGCATGCCAGCGTTAGTGTCAAAGTATATATTTTTATCATGAAAAATGAGGGTCACTGAGCTCAGCTGTTGCTTTACATTATGTATATCGTCCTATGAGCCACTGACCTGTTTTTTCTTAAATTTACTCCAGATCTTACAGTGCTGTGCTCTTATCCCTAAAAAGCACTGTTGCCTTGGTGAAAAAGTGCAAAAGCGTGTTACAGTGCTTCAGGGATTGTAATGAGATCCCAGAAAGTAAAAAGACTGATTAACTGAATCAGAAAGGTGCGAGTGATATTTTACAAGCCGGCTGATGGAATCTGTTCCCTCTAGAATAAAGAATTGCAGGGTTACTGGGTAATTCTTTCTGATAAATGATTTCTTTACGAATGTGACTATGGCTTCTAATAATAAACGTGTATTTATGACTTCTGAAAGTTTTCCTGGTGGTGATATTTGTGTAACATTGAAATAAGAGATGAGAAGGAGGTACTAGGTTATATAATGCATTATCCCCCCAGAGAGAATTGTTTTATGCAATGTATAGTGTTGTTATGATGTTCTACCAAAAATCTAGTTTCATTTGTATTCATATTTCTGATAAGAATGTATACAGTGTCACGTTAAAGTATCTAGAGTAACATTTTTAATTACAACCTAGTACCAACATGGTATGGTCTGCCTTTGTTATTCAGAATGAGTCCTCGAGTGTTTTTACAGAGGACATAGCTAAAGTTAGACAACGCACGGAAGAGAAATGCTCCTCCCTGGCAAGAGGAATACAGATCATCAGAGCACATTTAAGCTGGGTTTTGCAGAACATTTTAAGATGTAAGGATTTGAGAGCGTCACTGGAAGACACAGCCCCAGCCAATTTTTCCTTCCTCCTCAATATTCACTCCCTTCTGCTAGCCTGGATTCTTGTGTCTTAAATGAGGCTGGGGAACTGATCTGGCTGAAAATGAACTAATGAGAAGAAAAAAAAACCATGTATATGTTTGTGTTTCAGCGATGTGCATATTGTAAGCACCTTGGAGCCACTATCAAATGCTGTGAAGAGAAATGTACCCAGATGTACCATTACCCCTGTGCTGCTGGAGCAGGCACGTTTCAGGATTTCAGTAACTTGTCCCTCCTTTGTCCAGACCATATTGATCAGGCTCCTGAAAGATGTAAGTACAAATGAGACAATTACCGCTTATGAGGTAATTGTATGTTTTTACACTATGGTGGTTATATCCTTAACCCTTGTCCCAGGCCAGAAGAGCAGAGTATCCTGTAAGATGCCTAGATTTGCTTGAATAAGCTTAATTTTAGCATGTAATTAACTGCAGTGGAGTCAGTGAAAGTGTTGTTTTGTAGGCTTGAGACTGTCACAAGTACCTGAGATTTTTTGGATTTCCATTAAAAAAAAAAAAAAAACAAAAAAAAGGTCTATTTTATTTTTAAAAGTCATTTATTTGCTAAATATTTATTTTCAGTTTTAATTTAAAGCCGCATGCATTTGAGTATATAATAGAAATAGAATTGTTGCTGTGAAAATTTAGCCTTGTTTGATACATCCTGAAACAGTGTATTAGAACATGAATATTTCTTGATAACACTAAAAATTATGTGGATTCCAGTTGTTACATCTTCTGAAAGCTTAATTATGCCCCAGCATATATTGCACTTAGCAGATTACCATATGATTAAAGATTCTCCATTGTAGGCAGGATACTTGATTCTGCCTGTAGATCACTGGTGTATTGCGGTATGGTAAATCCAACTTTCTTGTTACCTTTTCCGTACGGTTCTTAAGGGAGACATTGTTGAACACCACTTCCTTCAAACTTGGCAGTGCAGTTTGCTCAAACGTTTCTGAAGTTTTCTTTCACCATTTAGTATAATTCCTTCAAACATTGGCTTTTAGTAGTTGGAACAGAGTTGTGCTTGGGTGGGCTTTTTACTACTCTCAGGTCAGCTTGACTGCTGTAAATAACTAGTGGAAGGCAGAGCTAACGCCGCTGATCAGATACTGCCTTTGCTTTTCACTAAGCACATTTTTAATGTTGAAGAATAGCGGCACTTCCAACTTCTTATTTACTGTTTTGCACTTTTGAGTTTGAGGAAAGGAAAAAGGAAAAGCTAGAGCTCTATTTATTACATGTTTAAATCTGCACATTCATCTATTAAATCTATTAGCAAAATAAAACACGAGAATGTAAATGAGAGGAAAGATATTGAGCTAAACAGGTTAACCGTTCCGGAGAGGGCTAAACTCTCTTGAAGAGGGTGGCGTAAACAGGGGACAGGTGATAATTTCTAGGATAGTCTTTTAAGTACCTGTGTGTTTTCTGAAGTAATTGCGGAGTTGATTACCATCCATTAGCATTTGGAATTGAGTTAGTGGAGTAAAATTTTGGGTATGAATGAGTTTTTATGTACTGCTAAAATAATGATTCGTAACCTATTGCTCTTCACTGGACATGGAGACCATAGTTTTCATGTAGTCTTTCACAGCTTGGCCTAGCATTCTTCCCGGTTTTCTCACTGCAGTGCAGTTGCTGATTCTCTGTGTTTTCATGTCTTACGAGTTCGGAAACAGTTTCTAGCAGAGGAACCCTGTGGTCTAACATCCTTCCTGTGGGACACTTCCAGTTAACTGTCCTCGAGTTTGAAAGTGATGTCTGTAAAATGTTTTAAGATATTATTCCTTTGATGTTAGCAGCTGCTCCAAGCAGTCCTGTCGTCCTTTATCTCGACTAGCAATTAATCCTATCCTCACCTTCCCGTGAAGTTTTGTTTTGTTCTGCATCCCCTCCTGTCAGGTCTGTGCTGCCTGCAGTTCTTTAATCTCCTCTTCCCCAGAGCACCCTGAGAAGCGCCACGTATAGCAGGTGAAGGAGCTTTATCAGGGTGAGCTTCCACCCTGTAGAGGGGAGATCCAGAGGAGATGCTGCTCACAGGAGTGAGAAGGAGAGACTAGGACTCTCCGGAGCTGACTGAGAACTGCTTTTTATATCCCTTTCCCCGGAGTGACAGGAGGTGGGGTTGGGAGAGCTCGCTGGGTCTTCTACGCTGGCCTGGTTAGTCATTGGCACCTCACAGATCGGGTATTGAGAGCACTCAGCAGTCACAGTTGCTTTACAGCAGGCAAGCTGAAGTTCACAAGAGGATTGGAGGTCTTTTCTGTCATGAGAGTGGCCTGTCTACTCTCACCTAAATTCTTCATCAGCCAGGAAACCATAATACAGTTTATACCCACAGTCAAGTAACGTAGCTGGATTTAAAACCTCCCTTCACCGTTAAGCATGAATCAGAGAACATAAAACCCCAAAGTGGGATGAGTCATGTGTTCAGAGGAGACATAGTCTTGGTTTTCACAAACTGTTTAAAAAAAAAAAAAAAAGTTCTTGTCCTATTAGTCCTTCTAATTGGGTTGTTATTTTCTGTATACTGTATGTCTGTAAAATTCTGCATTTCTACCTTCCTGAAATAATTTGTGCAGCAAGTATAACAGCTATAGAAGTCAATTAAAATGATAAATGCAGTATTTATTTGTTTATTCAAATTGAATTAAGGAAAGAAAAGAACAATTTTGTTTTTTCCTCTTCTGTATTCTGAATGCATAGTCAGATGTTAAGTTGATTAAAGTAAATTTATATGAAAATGAAGTTGTGAAGGTTTAGGAGATAATATTGTAGGATTGTCAAGGTACCCGACCTCATACAATACCGTAAGAAGAGCATTGGGAGCGCAGGAGGGAGACTCTCCCTGCTCTCTGCTCTGCAGGGCACCCCCTCCGAGACCCCCGCAGTTTGGAGAAATAGCTGCAGGAAAAGTCCTGATCAGTCCCTGAAGCCCTAGGATAGAACAGGTTCGGGCACTATGCAAGACTGTGTGAGCTGTCGTCATCTGTAAGAAGCGTGAGAAGATGAGCATGATGTAATTTCCAGACAGTTTAGCTGTGGAACTGCAATACTACTACTTAGTAGATGTAAATGAGATTTATGCGTAAAGGCGAAATTATTATAGGAAGGACAAAACATGCATCTTGGATATCAGGGCAAGTATTTTGTCTTCCTTATTGTCGTACTTTTAATTCAGAGATTGAGACGTTAGAGCTCCATAAAATTATTTTTAAGGGTTTTTCTTGACGTGGATAAAGCTGTGAAGTCTGTATAAATGAGTGCAGTAGAACCAGCTTTAAGAGTATAGTTCTTTAGACCCGTTTTTCCTGTGTGCATACCTGGGTGCACAGCAGAGTTAGTATTTCTCTTTTTTTAATGACTGTGTGGGAAGGTTTACTCAGAAGACTTGTCTTCTGACAATTTTTAGTTCATATTGATAGGCTTGCCTTGCTTGTCCTAATTCAAGCTAGAGCAACCATATTGCAAACACTTGAACCAAACAGTAGTTTTAGATCTGTTAGGAGCTTTGTTTTGTACTTTGTCCAGATAAGAGTAGGTCCTAAAGCGTTTGGTTTTATAGTGGGGAGAACCAGAGTAAACCTGTTTCTTTTGTTAAGACCTGAGCAAAACTTACAATGAATGTAGTTTTGTTATGAGATTGGTTGAGTACGTCGGAAAACCAGATGGAAGGAATATGTATCAAGTATATTAAATTTGAATTTTGTAAGAATGATCAAGTTCTGTATGCATAAGAAGCGCTAAAGAATTTCTTAGTTTCATTTGGTTCATTGAATTGTTTGTGCTTTTGAATGGCATAATAATTGGAAAATAATTTTTTTTTTGTAGCAAAGGAAGAAGCAAATTGTGCAGTGTGCGACAGCCCTGGAGACCTCTTAGATCAACTCTTTTGTACAACCTGTGGGCAGCATTACCATGGGATGTGCCTGGACATACAAGTTACACCTTTAAAAAGAGCAGGTTGGCAGTGTCCTGATTGCAAAGTGTGCCAGAACTGCAAGTAAGTGAGAGCTGAAGGGCATGGGGAGGATGTTCTTAGATTTATGCTCTGTGATTTTTAGACATATTTAGACATTTTAGATGTTTTTAGACATTTAGACACTTTATGAACTGTTTCACCACCCCCACCCCACAAAAAAAAAAAATAGACTG